TTTCCAAGTAGGAACTGCACTTCCTGCTTGTGTTCAACTTGTTGATTTGGTTTTCTTAAAATGTAAGGTGGAGATTCCTGTGTCACACACACACACACACATATAGATATATATATATGTAAACAAGAAATTATCTCAATTATTATTTTCAGAATAAGGGGCCCAGATTAGTTTTGCATTAATTTTCTCCAATTTGCATAGAGCAAGCAGCATTTCCCTCATCTTCTTTAAAAGTGCACAGAAGAAAAACGGAGGCAAAACACTCTGCACCATCTAAGCATGAGGTGTGTTCTTAGTGAGAGCAAATCAGCTGAGAATATATCAGATCTGGGGATCTGTCCAGAGATGCTGTGCTGTAGCTGGAGTTCCCATGGCTTTGTTTTCTAGATACACAGAAGTGTGAGAAGCATAAGGGAAGAAACACAGGGGTAGGTTCCAAATGCAAGTGAAATGTCAGCTGATGGAGAGCACAGAAGTAGGCTTTTTAGTCATAATTTTAAACTAGTAGCCATTACCTGGATCCAAGCAAGATCCTCTTTCTCCCCACCTCCATTCAAGCAAATATCAAAGTGGTCATGCCCACTGCTGTCTGCACCAAGTACCACTGAGAAAGTGACCATTGCACTGCATTAGGTCATCATTTACATCCAAAAATGCAGCTCTGAACCCCCTACTTTCCCGTGGCTTACTGCTACTGTCAGTGCTTACTGCTGAAGCTCAGCTGGTGCCCAGGCGGGTCTGTAGGTATGGCTCATTTCACCCACCTCAGACATCAGTTTTCAGTAGGGGACAGAAGGTTGAAATTCTACAATCTAACTAAAAGAAAGTCATGAATATCTAATGATGATTTCTTGCCTTGCACTCCATGAATCTGGAAATGGTGATTTAATTAAGGAAGACAAAAGTTCCCACTGGGCTTGCAAAGGATTATATTGCCACATGTCCCTCAGAGTCAAGAATCAGGTGGAGCAGGCATAACAGTGACTAAGCAGGTCAATTCACAACAAAAGGCAGAATACCACAGAGTCGTCACAGAAAAACTTCATTGCTCATGCAGTCAGCACACCACAAAAGATCAGCATTTGTCACTCTGCTGAGGTGCTGTCAGCTGAAAAGAAATGTTCAGTTCACGTTCAGTACGTTTCTTCAGCTGCCAGATGGCCTTTCTGTGGTCCACTGGAGTTCCACTCTGTCACAGTGGAGGTCTGTTTTCAGACACGGCTATCACTGCCTTGCAAACTTCTAGCTTAGTAAATTGCTTGACTCTCCTCCCTACCCAGTTTTATACTGCAAATACCACAGAGCTTGTGCAAAGCCTTTCCCTCCTGTGAAAAGCAGACATGTCAGTCAGGGCTCTTACAGGGTGAGAAGATTCATAAACAAATGGCACTTCTTCTCCGCCTGTGGTTGTGGAGGATTTGAGAACAGCTAAAAGATCATAAAGCAGGGATAATCTCCGCTTTCATTAATCTTCCAGTCAGAAAAGGCTGGCTATAGACTGCCAGCATCCAAACACCATGAGAATGGCTACCTTGCTGACGTGAGGGGATAAGAACAAAATGTGTTTAAAAGGGTTCCTCCTCTGCAATGTTCTCTCTCAGTCAGGGTTTCTGCCAAACTGGGGCTGTACTCAGTTCATTTGGATAAATATCCAGAGATGTATGTCGCCTTTATGATTTTTTTTAAATCCATTTTCAACTTACTCATTCCTTTAGACTTGGCAATGTTCTGCAACAGTCCTTTTTGGGTATTTAAATGATCATAGTGTGCAAAACTATTCTGACTTCTTTTAAATGTATTGACCAACTGGTCACAGTCAACAGTTATGGCAGTAGAATTGCTGTCACAAAATGGTCTCAGCCACCTGTGAGGATTTGGAAAGAAAAACATATCTTTTATATTGATCTTAAACCAACACATTAAGACTCCAGGACTTTCCAATCCATCTGGAGCAAAATAAGACACTCAGCAAGAGTGTACATTTGAATCTGGCTCTGGGAACAGAGGGGAACCGTTCAATAAGTATGAAGTTCAAACTAAAGTTCCACTTCCAGCCTAACAGAGGGTTGTGTCCTTCAGTTCAGAGTGAATATATCCACCAAATCCAACATACCAATAAAACCACTCACCATAACTTCCTTTAGACTCTACTGTCAAACACTGCAGTTACCATGTCTCCAGGCCCTGGCGGACACCTGGACACATACCGTGTTTTTACACAGCACTGGTACCTTCTCATATTCCTTAAAAACCTTGGTACCATGTGTACCAATAAAGCAAGCTCCGTCTCTCTCACACAGTCTCAGAGTCAGCAACTATTAGCAGCAAACCAAAAGTTAGTTTAGCTATTGCTCTAGGGGGATACGAATCACTCATTTGTCTCCCCACTTCAGCAGGCAATTCTTTCATGCCTCCTTACATTCCCAAGCCAGCCCCACCTCAGCACTCCTCTTGCATTCTCTGCAGTCCAATAAGCACCCACAAGGCAGTGGAAATGAAATGTTGTTTTGTATTTGTTCCAAAATGTGCTCTTCTCTGACACATCACAAGCTCATTTTGTGCAAAAATGACATATCTGATTTCTTTTGACATATCTTTTGCCTTGGATTCCACTAGTGATAGTGTGTCCACAGCAATTTTTCCTGTGCTTACAGGAAAAGTGCTGTATAGGTTAGGAAAGGTAAAAGTACACGTTCAGTGACAGACCTGCTTGTGTATCTGTGGAGCAGAGAGCACACCTTGCAGAAACATTCAGATGGATTTTGGATTACTAACTTGGGTGCTGAAAGCATTTTAGCCTTGTTAGCAAAATGATCAGGCTGATCCAATTAGCCCTCATTATGGGAGCAGTTATAGTGGGAGTTGTATCCTTATGCAGTTATGTTGCTTTGCTGTTTATCTCCAATATCTCTGCATAAACCTCACTGTGTCTTTTAATAGAAAACACAAGTTAGAAAAGTGACCAATGGTTTTTGCAAGGTAAAAATAAGAACAGAGATTGATAAATGAATAGTGAGACCGCCTATAACCCTTCTTTCTCAGCAAAGTGGCTTAGAAGGTGAGAACAATGTATAAAAGCTTGGAAATCCTCTAAATATATCTCCACTTAGTTTCTTCCAAAGCAGCATTAGGGAAAAAATATCTGATTTAAGAAAGAAGAGTAATGACTTTTAATTATTTTTCTGAGGATGTTTAAATATGTTTAAAGACCCTACTAAATACATAGGATAGAGCAGAGCTCGTGAAAACACACAGGCGTCACTTGAATGCACTACCAGCAGCAGCAGCTCACTATTCCTTGTAACATCACTGAGGAATATGGGTTATTTTTGCTCTCCTAAGAGCAAGTGGGAAATTACAATGGAGAAGTTTTGTGATTTATCCAAGCCCTAGGATGGCATCCAACTCAGAAATCTCAACGCGGTGGTTCCCAGTCCTGTGTCCTGCCATCCCTTGCCCCAGGCATTAAAAGCCAGCACAATTAGAGCTCCCCAGTGAGTGGTTCGCCAGCAAAGCCCTGAGAGGACGCGGCTGTCACAAAGTAACCCAACAGCTACGCTGCCGCTGGGAAGCAGGAGAGATGCCTCTTTAGACATGAAAAACCGTTGTTATAGGAAAACGTGCAGGTCGTCACTGCGCTTCAAAGCCTCCTCCCTGCTACGTGGCGTCTCTGTCTCCGCTGTGCCCTGTCCCGGGAGGAGAAGAGCTGGGGGGACCACACTGAGAGGAGCAGCACTTTCCCTGGCCAGGAGGGCAGCCTGGTGTACATAATTCAGTGTCCCCTGGGATGTCACTGGACATGCAGCGAAGCATGCTGGGACACAGAGCTCTGAGCCAGGGCATCTGTAGGGAAGGGAGGCAGGAGGCAGCCACCAGCAGGAGAGCAAAACAACAGCAAACACCACCTAAGAAAAGGCAAGCAGGGCCAGCATCTGTAATATCACTGAAGCATGGATTTTCTGAAGCATCTCTGGGAGCCTGAGGATGTTACAGGTCCATGCACACAGCTGTGGAAGTGTCCCCGGAGATGTGGAGTCTGGCCACACAATGCAGTAGCATTGGTGGGATGTACTGGGGTAATCAAACACCCCAGAGAGGAAAGTTGAGCAGGGTCCAGGAGACCAGCCATGCAGGGGGACTTAGTTGCCCCACTCCATGTCTGTACTCAGTTTCCTGGGCTCTTAAAGGGCTGTTCTTTAATACTGGGAGAAGGGTCCTTGTAAATAAGGCTTATGTGCTGCTGGAGTTGAAAGGTTTACCCTCTCTCCTTTGCCAAGGGTTTGAGGAACAAACCAAAAGTGATACACAGGGCCGGAGTGCTCGGGGCTCTGACAGGGTGGGGGGAAGCAAGCAAGGAGTCTTCATCCCCTTGCCTCCCCTAATCCTACAAAGAACCAACAGCAATTCATTTCCAGGAGCTGGACCCCAGATGCGTGGGACCATGAGTGAGAGGTGGTCACGAGACAGCCGCCAGGAGACCATGCGGGATACCCCAGTATAAAGCACCTGCCTCAGAGCACCTGAGCTCTGCACAGCCGGCCCCTCATCGGGGGAGTCAGGTGCGCAGTCGGCTCCTGCTCGCAGGGACTGTCAGTACCAGGCTTCTCCTCGGGAAATTCGGCCCCACGCCGGGCTCAGCATGAGGGAAAAGAGTTCTTCCCAATCGCCTCCAGCATGGACAGCGACGCTGCTATCGCTGGCCATGTAGCTGGACATTACTCCACTTGCGAGCCGGAAAACTGCCCCCCCAAGAGCAGCAACGCAGGGAGGTCAGCCCTTCCACCCTCCCTGCTCGAGGTCCCGCCATTCGGGATCATCCCTCCCGAAACGGCTGGCAGGGCAGTGTGAGGAGGTCGGGGGTTCCCATCCGGCAGCTGAGGGGGCGGCTAGCAGCCTCAACACGCAGCTCCGCTCTCCTCACGCCAAATGGCCCCGACGGGTGTTCCCGTCTTCCCTATTGTCAGTCCCCGCTGGGACCCTGCCCCCGCGACACAGCGAGGACCTGCTGGTGCCATGAGCGGGGAGGGGTGAATAGCGGCACCACCTCCCCCGGTCCCTTCCCGGCAGGATGAGGGGTAGAGAGGAGGGTGACGCCCCTCGAGAGAGGGGCTGCAGGTGCCCGGAACCACGGCGGCCGCGGGTGGGCGTCCCCCGTCCCCCCTGGGAGCCGCCGTGAGGCAGGACCGCGGTGGGGAGGGAAACCGAGTTTGCGGCGCCGCTGCCGCCGGTGCGCGGGGGCAGGAGCGGGAGCGGGCGAGCGGAGGCACCGCCGGCACAGCAGCCCCGCCGGGCCGTCCCTGCGCAGCCCCCGGCCGCCCACCCACCAGCCCCGATCGCCGCCGGCGGGGTCGGGCCGGGGGTAGGTGGGAGCGGCGGGGGCGGGCGGCAGCCTCGGGGGTCGTCGCCATGACGAGCGGGCGTGCCGCCGCCTCCCGCCGCTGAGCGGGGCGGCCGCTGTCCCTTCAGCACCGCGCGGCCGCCCGGGCCGCCCCGCCCTGCCCTGCCCGGCACCTGCACCCCGCCGGCACGGGCACCCACCGGCACTGGCAGAGCATCCCCCCAGCACCCCCTCGGCACCGGCATCCCATCGGCACCGGCATCCCCCCGGCACCGGCATCCCCCCGACACCTCACCAGCACCGGCGCCCCCGGGCAGCGAAGCGAGCCCTGGCGGCCCCCGCGGGCGGCGGCGATGGCGGGCGGGGGCCGGGGGCGACGGGGCGCGCCGGCTGGGGGCCGCGGCCGCTGAGGCAGCAGGTAGGGCGTGCGCGGAGCCGAGCGGAGCCGGGCGGGGGGATCCCCTATGGCCGGTGGGCAGCGGCGCCCCCGGGCAGAGCGGGGGCTCCGGCCCCCGAGGCGCGGCGGGGACCGGGAACCTGGGCGGCGGCGGCGGCCGGGGGGGCTTCTCATCTGGCGGGGCCGGGAGCGGCCAAAGGGAGGGAAAGGTCCGCGCGGAGCCGGTGGCACAAAGGCCGTGAGTAACGGGGGGCTGATGGGGAGAGGCAGCCGCAGCCCAGGTGAAGGGTGCGGGGAGGGACAGGAGCCTGCAGCGGGAACAAAGGAGCCTCCCTCAGGGTCTTCAGTGGGAGGTGGGAAAAAGGAAAACGGGGGAAAAAGGGAGATACGGGGCAGAGGGTGAAAACGAGGGGAAAGTTGGTGACCTGGGGGAAAAGGGAGAATAACAGGGAAAGAAAAGAGAGAAAGAAGAAGAAAGAGAGAAAGAAAGAGAGAAGAAAAGACAGAAAGAGGAGGAAAGAAAAAGAAAGAAAAGCAAGCATCAGTAGGTGAACGTGCTGTAGATTTGTTCATTCTGTCAACTTTCTATGCAATTGCATCCTAGGTATTCATTCCCTACACACCTTTGGAAGGAGCTCACTATGACAGGGCAGAGTCTGAATGCTTTATCTGAAGCGAATTTTGAAGACAATGAGATTAGCATCAACGTTGGAGGCTTTAAGAAAAAGATGAGATCCAACACATTATTAAGGTTCCCTGAGACGAGGCTGGGCAAATTGCTGAGCTGCCACTCAAAGGAGTCGATACTGGAGCTTTGCGATGACTATGATGATACCAAGAATGAATTTTATTTTGACAGGAACCCTGAGCTCTTTCCTTATGTGCTACATTTTTATAACACCGGCAAGCTCCATGTGATGGGTGAACTCTGTGTGTTTTCTTTCAGCCAGGAGATTGAATACTGGGGAATCAATGAATTCTTTATAGACTCCTGCTGCAGTTATAGCTACCATGGGAGGAAAATGGAGCCAGACCAAGAGAAATGGGAAGAACAAAGTGACCAGGAAAGTACCACATCTTCTTTTGATGAGATTTTGGCATTCTACAATGATGCCTCTAAATTTGATAAACAACCCTTTGGAAACATCAGGAGGCAGCTCTGGCTTGCTTTGGATAACCCTGGGTACTCAGTTTTAAGCCGCATCTTCAGTGTCCTTTCAATAGTGGTGGTGCTGGGCTCCATCGTGACCATGTGCCTGAACAGCCTCCCAGACTTTCAGATTGTTGACAGTAATGGGAACCTCGACGAAGACCCTCGCTTTGAAATCGTGGAACATTTTGGTATTGCATGGTTCACTTTTGAACTGGTGGCAAGATTTGCAGTAGCTCCTGACTTTTTAAAATTTTTCAAGCATGCCCTGAATTTGATTGACCTAATGTCTATCCTTCCATTTTACATTACATTAATTGTCAACTTGGTGGTGGAAAGTAGTCCAACTTTAGCAAATTTAGGCAGAGTTGCACAAGTGCTGAGACTCATGAGGATCTTTCGCATCTTAAAGCTTGCTAGACACTCCACTGGTCTCAGGTCTCTTGGAGCCACCCTGAAGTATAGCTACAGAGAGGTGGGGCTTCTTTTACTTTACCTCTCTGTTGGCATCTCCATTTTCTCAGTAGTGGCTTACACCATTGAGAAAGAAGAGAATGAGGGGCTAGCCACCATCCCTGCTTGTTGGTGGTGGGCTACTGTTAGCATGACCACAGTTGGCTATGGAGATGTTGTGCCAGGGAGCACTGCTGGCAAGTTGACGGCATCTGCATGCATCCTAGCTGGTATCCTAGTGGTAGTGCTTCCCATTACACTGATCTTCAATAAATTCTCCCACTTTTACAGGCGTCAGAAGCAGTTAGAGAGTGCCATGAGAAGCTGTGATTTTGGTGATGGCATGAAAGAAGTTCCATCCATCAACTTAAGGGACTACTATGCTTATAAAGTTAAATCCCTTATGGCTAGTCTGACCAATATGAGCAGGAGCACCCCCAGTGAGCTGAGCCTGAATGATTCACTGCATTAGTGTACAAGTCTGACAGCAGTTTGCATGAGAGCTATCAAGAGCTATGTTTATAAATGTTTTTCTCCCTTTTTTTTTCTTTTTTTTTTTTTTTTTCTAAAGGATAGTGTTGCTGACACTGCACTTTGCACTTGAGGAACTAAAGACATTTCTATTCCAAGTTGACAGTTTGCACATTTTCATCCTGTTGCATTGGATACTAAATGCTGTCCTTTCCATGCAAATGTTACCACTTTCATGACATCAGTGCTAGTGGTATAAAGATGATCTGTTACTTTGTGCATTTTATCATCTGAGCAGAGAAATGAACGTAGACAAGTGGAATAAAAAATTTCAGATGTGACATGAGTAATGAAAAAAATCACCCATCACCTATACTGGTATCTGAACTGGTGTAGGACTTCCATGCATTTTACAACAGTTTAAAACAATCACCTGTGAATCACTGATATGGGAACACTTTTATCCATATTGCTGACTAGTTATTCTGATTGTCACTTGTCTGAAAACTCCACTAAGTTTGCTTACTCTTGAGTATGTGTGTTAAAATCTGGGTGTTCTTGTTCTGAAGTGTTATGTGTAGTAATATTTTTCAGAATCTCCTAAGCATAGACCTTCCTCTGCTTCCAAGATTAGGTCAATACTGAACCCTCTGAAGAAGACAACCCCTCACATTCAGATAGCTACATATTCAAATACTGCATTTCCACTAATGACTCTAGGTATAGAGGCACACATACACCTCTCAGGATGCCATTTCCAGAAGTGATCTTTTCCCAGCGCGGTCCCAGTGCAGCCTGCAATATGCTGTCTCAGTCCCTCAAAATGGTTCTGAGATTAGACACACAAAGACGTGGGCTTTCAACAATTAGAAGCTCCAATGAAAAACTTGGATTTGTTTAATTAAGTGAAATATTCCCACATGAACTGTACAGGCAGCATTTTAGGAACTGACATTCATATACTGCAAAAAGACTAATTATAAAGATGCCATATGTGATGCTGAGATATAAAATCTAATTTTATCAGAAAAGCTTGAAAGCAGGTGTTGATGACAGACAATTCCATTAAGATTTCTGCCAAGGAAACTATAAGGAAAAAAACACCCTGTCAAGTCACATTTTTCCTCAGAAAGAAACTCACAGTTTACAACTAAGGGAGAGCATAAGGGCCTAAGAAGGGAACAGATAAAGAAAAAGAGCTTAATACTGCACCAACTGTGGGTAGATCCTCCTACCTATTTATGTGACGTAATCAATGTAAATCCTTTCAAGGGCTGGCATGTACTTTTTTTAAAAAAAAGAAAACAAAACTGAAAAAGACATGAGAGAACAGATCATCTAGGACTTCCAGAGTAATCATGGATCTGCATAAGTTTGTTTTTTGAGTGCTCATTCTCTTCCCTTACAGAGTTTTACAGAGATCAAACACTTGTAATCAACAGGTAGAAGCCACTGTTGTGTGGCTGTTTTAAATTCTTGGGATCTGTGCAAGAAAACAAACTACTGGTGCTCAGCGGGCAGAACAGCATTTCTCTTCAGATCCTGCTGCTTTTCCATCCCATTTATTGCATTTAATGTTCCAATTATTTTGTTTGTTTCTTTGTTTGTTTTACTTGTGAAGAGAGGTTCAGAAATTAAATTCAGACTAGTCAGAAGAGAAAATAAAATACTAAAGCTAAAATTGTCACGTTTGGAAGACTGTTTTTGTATACCATGACAAGGGGCAGCCTAACTGACAGAATAAAGGAAACATGGCATGAATAGGTAATTGCCTCATTTAGGCTACTAGAGGTTGCTGTCTGATCTGTATCTTTTGATGCTTTGCTGCATCAGCTCCACCTATAAACAGGAAGCTGAGCATGCAGGATCACATTCCTCTTTGCCCAGTGATCTATCACAGAATACACGGTGTGAAATAAATTACCCCTTGCCCCATTTGCTTTGAAAATACTCTCCCCTCATGTCAGTTAGTGACTGATTTAGGCCATGAAGAATGAGGGAAATGGTCCTTTCCAACCTCACCAAAGATCTCAGCAGAGCCTGCGCAAGTTATGAAGTCCATTGGCAAGCCATTGCTTGCTGTCCCTGAAAATCAAAGAGCCATATATGTGTTCCTGAGGGGAGACCTAGATAACCTGAATTTGATATCCAGACTTGAAACATTTTGCTAAGGTTTTCACTTTTGGAGGGCTGGTTCAAGTTCTCTGCTAGGTGACAGGCATAAATTCAGTACTCTTGTTCCTGATTCATATTGCATGTGTGTCAACTATCACACGCCTACAAACATCCTCCCAGAGCGTGGGCCAGCCTGAGGTCACCTGCTGGACTGAAATACCAAGAAAGAAGTAAGGGAGGAAGAGGTGGGCATGTGCAGCTCATGTACTGTGATCAGGTTACCTGCTGCAAGGTTGGCATGCTCTCCTCCTGATGCAAGCTTTCACTAATTCTGTTGGCTGGGGTCCTTCAAAGAATCCAGCTCCAAGCAGTGGTTTTATCTGTTTCAGAAACGGTAGGTTCACAGAGCTGAAAACCAGTGCCTTTCAGGGTAGTTATTTGATGAGACCTGTAGACTTGCCAAAGAGTCACAAATTTCCTCAGCTGTTGCTAGTTTAACATTGCAAATGTTGGATCCAAACTTTACAACACATCATTTCAATAACCTATAGCTTATCTTATGTTCTAGATTTATTATTATTTGTAGGGCTGATTCTCTGCCATTTCTGCCAATATTGAATGGAACGTGTCCAAACTGCATTTTACTAAAGAAAATGAAATACTCTAAGGAATTTTGACTTTTATTGTACTGGTTGAAAGGAATTTTCATTATTGCATTTTTATATAAGTGCTTTGGATCAAAGACACTAAGTAAATAAAGTACTGAAATTTAATATGTTCTTATTATCATGACAGTGACTTTACACAGCGCACAGGAATTCCTTTCATAAACTTAACTAACTCCATGTTAAAAGTAATCACATTTTTGCTCCCTCCTCCTCCTGCAGACCATTCCAGAGCTGCGCTTGCACAGCTTGCACAACTTTTAGCATAATTTTACTAATGGATGCTTTATACCAGTTTTTTTCTTATGCCAACACTGCTTAAATATTTCATTTTCCTCTTTGTTTATTCCTGGTGTATTTGTAGGCAGCAACCATACGCTCTTACATGCTTATTTTCACAGGATTATACCTGCCAAGCTTCCTTTCAGTTTTCTTTCTGCAAGTCATGTTCCCCTGACCATCCTAGGGGATGTAGCCTTTTTTCTGCTTTACTTCTGCCAAAATTTATTATCTTTGAGCTGGCATGGTACAGCACTGTACAGCAGTTTTAATATTTGCTTATGACTAACAGAATTTTTCACTGAGCAGGATAACAATTTAACAATTTAAGTAATGTTTCTGTCTTAGCTCCCCCCCAAACTATTTAGATAAGGAAGAATAAGGCACAACTTTCCTGCCATTTTGTGAAGTAACCTCTATTCTAGCACTCAGTGCAGTAAGTGCTGAGAAACCTTATCTCTCATTAAATAAAAACTACAGAAAAATCTTTACACTTTGAAGGAAAAAATCAGTCTCTCCAAAGCCCCACAGGGGAGAAGAGGCAGTGTACTTTTTGAGTAGTCAGTACTTTTGCCAGAATTCTTCATTCACTCTGTGTATTTTTCATTAGAGTTCACTTCATTACACTCCTGTGTAAGAGCAGAACATCTGCAATTCCATAACCAGTGAGTCAGAATCGAAGGATGAGAGGACTGATTGGTCACTTTCTCCAGAGTTTGAAACTTGAAAATTGCTGTGGTCAGAAATCTCCTTACTATGGATGTGCAGTTCACTGAAGAACATTGCATTGGCATGTGCTCCTCCTGCCTGTGACAGTCACCTTCCTGGCACCAGTGAAAATGCTGTGCCTACTCTCTTTTGTCTGAGAGCTTTGTGTTGTTTAAAGGAGGATTGTGGTACCATTTCAAATGAGGCAACTCACTTTATTGCCAAGAATAAACTGTTAGAGAATCTGAATTTCTAGTACAAATCTAGGCTACTATGAGAGATGGAGATGCCCTTGAGAAGCAATATGTTACATTATTTCCCTGAGATGTAAAATCTATACATAGATTGTGATTAAGCTTTTTATGTATGTTCAGATTTTGTATTACTGCCTGGTTTATTATTCACTTACTTTCATCAGTTGCTAATTCTCTCTTTCCCTGCAGACTACCCATTTTGAAAGCAGGCTGTTTTTTCCTCCCATATTATATAGAGCATAAGCTACTTCACATTGCAAACTTATAAACAAAGAACTTGGCATTTAATTTTCCAACTTTAATACCTCCCATATTTGTACCTTTTTGTATAGAGCTTTACAAGACTGCAGGGAACTACTGTATCTGGTGCTCTTTGTACTGTGTTTCTTGTCCCAGTAGTGTATAACATGCTCAAGAACTCAGCTTTGTGCCACAAAATGAAAATTAAATGCATAAAAATGATATTTCACCAGGGATTAAGAACTGATTTGAGTTTCAGGATATTCTGAGTATATATTATAATCAAAGAGAAGTGTGGGTCTCATTGTGAAGATAAGTTTCTTTTAAACAAATACATCAGGCTAGATTTATATTTTTAGAAAAGCTCTTAATTGGTGGTTTTGTTGGGGAGCCCACATTTTTCGGTTGAACAAACAGTGCAAGTTTCTTATTCTCTACCTGACAGATTAGGGACTGAGCAACATACCACCAGCATTTGTTGGCACTAAATCAACTTGACACGACCTTTCATCTCTTACAAAACAACCTCCATCCTTAGAGGCCCCAGCTGTGCACATATAAGCACAGAAAACCCCTGGAGTAACTGCTCTCACTGCACTAGTTATCCATTTCCTCTCACAATACTCCTGATTTTAATTTACCTTTGATGGTACTTTCAAACAACATTCAACCCAAGTCACCACTCGTATCCCTCGGTGAGGTGTTGTGGCAGAACTAATCTTTTCTCATCATGTTATTCTTAATTTATTTTCCAATTTATGCACCTGGTTTCCCATTAAGTTATACCAAAAAATAATTGGATCTCCTGTAACTAATTTTCCAGTTGCCCACTATTCAGGTAGGGTAGAAGAATGTTCCCACCCAGTTTATGAAGCATCTTTTACTGATTCTGCCTTTTTCATTAAAAAAAAAAAAAAGCTTCTCACCTGAGAATAATTTACTGGGTTAACAATGGAGCAATGGTCAATACATTATTCAAAGAAACAGTTCTACAGAGTAATCACTGAAGCTGCTAAGAAACATCACCCTCATTAAAGATTGTGGATCTGTTCATCTCTCATAAATAAAATTATGGGTTGTCAGCTAGAGGAAGCAACATCCAAACAGTCTAGAAAGCATTTCCCAAGATCACATGACACTGCTGGCAAAGTCTCTGAAATTTATTTCTCCTGCTAGTACAGAGGGTGGAGAATCATCTCACAGGTGTTGAGTCTCAAACTGACCTCCCACTGGACACTGCAGAAATTTGTTTATCTGACATCACCTCACCCTTTACACACAACCCTAAATCATGGAAGTCCTCACTTGGATAAACACATGCATCTGCCATAGGAGGCAGTGGCACAAATCCAACATTTCAGCTTCACACAAGTGCCAAAGAAACATCAGCACCTCCCACTCTTGCATTTTTCTTCCAGGGTACCAATGGACTTTGGTTTCTCTCTGATCCCTGTTCAGAAATAAACAGGGCTAAGTTTTTTGGTAATTGGACAAAGTGTGCTATAAATCTGACGATTTCTGCTATGTATCTAAAGCAGCCTAAGAGAGCTGCCCACTTTCGGATGCACGGTCCAACATCTGCCTGTTGTCACCCGATGCACAGGTGCTCTGTGTGGTGCACAAGCCTGTGTAGCTCTAAGCAGATTATTCCACTGGTTACACTGGCAACTTTCAAGGAAAACTCTTAATCCTATTTGTAAGATGAGTGGTACTCATACAGCACAGTTGCTTACCAGCAGCTGCTGTACCTCTTGTTTCTGAACCCTCTCCATCTGTCTGCCATATCCTGACGTGTCTATTCTTGCAAACCCCATGACATATGGGTGATGTGGTGGGGTTGTTACACAGCAAAATGAGGGTCTGCAGTTCCTGACGTAGGGACAGCAATCCCACCAACTTTCAGTGGAAATTATCCTTTTAAATTAGTATGCAATTTTTGAAATTCATCTTCTGTCCCCTTTTAGGAAGTGTTCTGAATATTGACACACTGGCCATGTGTTTACCACCCGTTTAATTACAAGGTAAATTATAATCTATTTCTATTGTGGCAGTGCCTAGGCATGCTAGCCCATGGGCTAGCACCTTTGTCTGTAAGGTTTTACAAGTATGGCAAAAGATACCATGTCAAAAATGTGGTTTGCTTTTGGGAAAAAATCTATTCTCTATGTGTCTTTCTTTCTTCTTTCCATACCAAGGCATAGCTTCCTACTGTCACTGTTAGTACGATCCTTTTATAACCTTTTGATCCCTACCCTGAAAACCCAAAGGAAGAAGCCTTGGATGTATTTTCCTTTGGTGAATTCATTCTCAGCATTCCCTGTGGGAGCATGCTCTAAAGAAGACAGCTGAAACCAGGGAAGAGGCTGGTGCCACTTGCAAGCACCTTCCGGAAGAGTGGGTTATCCCCATCCTATTCCCCCCTATACATCTCCCCTTCTCTTGCATGGCCAGCAAATAGGCAAGGCAGGTCCCACAGCAGGGACATCTCAACCAGCCAAAGTCAGGATGCAGCTCTTTCTCTGATCCTTTCATATTCAGCCGGGCAAGGGAACTGCCAGGTTTGATAGTTCATTTTTGCATGAGGCATCTCAGCTGCATCACTGAAAATGCTTTGTATGTACAGGGAAATTTTGCTTATGTTTTTGTGGCAAAAATGCAATGAGGATTCCTTATACATTGGTGAGGGCAGCCCCACTCCTGGATCTCATGTTCACCAAACACATTAAACTGGAACTGCACTGGAGCTCTCACCAGCGCTACCAGGGCAGTGCTGGAAAGCACAAAGGCCTCTGCTTTACTGGAGAAGTTACACTGGCCCATCCACCAGCACACAAAGACATGATGTGCTTCCTCACGGTTGGCAGGAGCCTCAAAGCACCAAAACCATTTAACATGCCAGGAGATGGCAGTCATGCCAGGAACAGGAGGTGGTAGGTGTTTCTGGGTGCATTTGATTTTCTTAAGAATCCCTTTAGATTCAGAGATAGGTCAGTCTAGACGTACCGAGAATACAGAAAAAAAGACTTTGAGAGGCAGTTAATGATTGCTGAAACAAGATACCTGAAAACTTTTCATCCTGAGAAAGCATTACTGAAAAAGGAAAATGTGTTTCTCCATCCTGATAAAGAAGGTGAGAAAAAAGCTACGATGAATGAAAGGTCAGTCTACTTGGGTTATGGGCTTGTAAAATAAAATGTTAATCCAATGCAGCCCAGAAAAGAAGAATAAACCTGGATGGAAAACAAAGCTACAGCTTTATAGTGTTTCAGTTTTTTTCCTTTGAGAAGTGCACAGGACAGCCATGTCTTACATGGCTTCATTTAAAGATCTGGACCAAACATCAGAGACCAGGTTCCCAAAGTGTAGATTTCCAAATTTTTAAGCAGAAACAGAGGTGTCAGACACACCCTTCCTTCCCTTGGGTCAGTAACATGATGCTCTAAACATGAGGTTGGCAGCTTTATGGTATTTTGGCTAAGCAAGGCCAAGCAGTTTCTGTCACTTCCTGTGATGAGGGAACACAATCAGCCCTGAGCTGGTGGAAGACACCTCAGAAACACAGCAGACATCTCTTCTTAAAATGCCTGAACTGTTCCTCGTTCTAGAGCAAAGAGCTGAACTAAACAT